AGATGGATGGGGAGATGGACAGATGGAAGGATGGAGAGATGGATGGAAGGAAGGAAGGGTGGAGAGATGGACAGATGGAGAGACAGATGGAAGGATGGATGGGGAGATGGAAGAAAGGAAGGGTGGAGAGATGAACAGAGGGATGGATGGAAGAAAGGAGGGGGAGATGGATGGAGACACAAATGGATGGAAGAAGAGGTGGACAGACAGAAGGAAGGGTGGAGAGATGGATGGGGAGACGGATGGACAGACGGAGAGATGGATGGATGGAGAGACTGATGGAAGGAAGGGTGGAGAGATGGATGGAGAGGCAGAAGGAAGGACGGAGAGAGGGATGGAAGGGAGGAAGGAGGGAAGGAAGGAGAGATGGACAGGTGGCAGGAAGGATGGATGGAGAGATGGATGGAGAGGCAGAAGGAAGGACAGAGAGGGATGGAAGGGAAGAAGGAGGGAAGGAAGGAGAGACAGATAGCAGGAAAGATGGATAGAGAGATGGACAGAGAGAGAAAGAGAGGGATGGACAGAAGGAAGGACAGATGGAGAGACGGATGGAAGGAAGGATGGAGAGACAGATGGAGCTCATGGTCCCTCCCAAGGAGACCCCGCTCCAGCATCACCTCTCCCCGATGCCAGGCACCCCCAGGCGTGCAGGCGGGTGCTGGGGCGTGGCCAGCTGCCCCCCAAAACCTCTGCAAGGGTCAACCCCCACCCACGAGCTGTCACCTCCCTCCCCCTGACCTGTGCCACCAGTCGGTCCTTTGGGGGGGGATTTTGAGCAGAGCCCAAAGGTTTTGAGTCAGCTGCAACCATGCTGCTCGTTTGCAGGGCTGCTAATTACATCCCCTAATTAGCAAGTCACCTGTGCTGCTAATTAGCTAATTAACTTTTTTTTTAAATCCCAGCAAGGAGGGAGGAAATTCTGCAACCCCGTAAATGAGCAAAGTGGTTTCCAAGATGTTTCCCAGGACTAACTGGATCTAAACTGGGATTTTACACTGGTCCAGGGCTGGGGACCCCCACCTTGGCACCCCCCCGCCACCATGTGTGACACCTCTTACCGCAGGGTGACGGCAAACTGGGCCAGCGGAAGGTCCTGGGACACCAAAAATTTACTCCTGGTCAACGGAGGCAAAGTCTTCTCC